GGAGTTTCCAAAATCAAACTCCAATTGGTCCTGAGAAAACCAGTAAAGCAGCTCCCTTCCTGATCCCAAAAAACACCTCCTATGTCTGATTCTCCAAGGTTTCGAAATGTGCAGCCATCAATTTCTAGCATTGCTCTTCCTTGTGGTGGATGGCTCCATGGTATATCAGTTACTAATCTTCCTATTGAAGTTAAATGCCACCACAGACCAACTCCTGATGACTTGATCATAAGTAGAAAAAGATGCAAATTCTCTTCATCGAATGAGTAACTTTAATTTCAATTAGACCAATTAGTAACTCTTTGTATTGATATCCATTTTGAAAAATCCTAGCATTCTGCTCTTCCCAAGTTGTCTACAGTATGGCTACTCCCATATACCTCTCTCTCTCAAGATCTTCCCTCTTGCTTCCTTGGAGTGAAGAAACTAGGATGAAATAAGGTGCCAATATCCAATGGAGGAACCACCTAGAATCAAAGAAAGCAAGAAAAAAAGTTTCCAAATATTGTTCACAAAAATTAGCAGAGGAAACTCTTAAAATCCTTGTCTTCTGCCAAACCTTTTACTGAATGTCTTGTCTTATTTGCTAAGACCAAAAATCTTAAAAAAAATTTTGCTAGTAGAAACAAAAGTTCCATTAAAAGAAAAAGAGAATTACAATCCATTGCTGATGCATTATCCACTATATAACAGAAGAAAAGAGACAAAAAAAATGTAATACAAATTAGATCTCTATTATACTTCACCCCCCCCCCCCCCCCCCATCTTCCTCAATCAAATCTGTTTCAAAAATTAGCATATTCCTTTCTTTCCACATTACTCAACAAACAGCAAATGACACCATGCTCCACACCATAAGTCCTAAATGTGTTCTGACCAGTAACAACAAGTAAATAGATGACTTAAGTCGTGATCTTGTTTTTCTTTTTTTTTGAATTTAAGTCGTGATCTTGTTTCTGCACAGCACACAAATATTTGGGAGTTCATAGCATCTTGCTTTCATATGGTCCAATGGAAAAATACTGTTTAATGCTACTAACCAAGCAACTGCTTCACCCCTAGGTGTTATTGGATCACCCCAAATTCCAGTAAGGCAGTAAAATTTCAACTCTCAACTTGATTTAGCATCATAGAATAACTTCATGTCTGACTCATTAGTATCAACCTTAGAAGCTTCCAATCTTGAAAGCAATTCAATGCATTCCTTCAATTCTCTATCCAATAATGGACTTAAAAAAACTTAGCAGCACACCACTTGGTCATCTCCCTTTTCAAAACATCAATTGACTAATGTCTTGAGTGCTCAATTTGCAAGTCTAGGACAAATGCTACACGACTCCATGTCTTCCTTCACACCACTCATCTTCCCAAAATCTCACCTTACTGGCCTACTCCCTTCCCCTACTAAAGACATCTCCATCAATGACAAACATCCATAACCGCTACCCAACAATGTCTCATTCATCTCCCTAATTCTTTTCAAGGGAAATATCCTTCAAACCTCCCCTGAGGTTTCTCATAAATACTAAAACATCCCCTCATCTTTCTGAAAGGACATTGACCTCTTCTCCTTCGGGCTTTTCTTTTTGAAGATAAAGTAAAAGTTTATTAAAATGAAACAAGAGAGTACAAGAAAGGTGACAAGGAATCACCGGAGAGAAGCCAAGCAAAAACCCCCTTCAGCCACACCCCAAACCTAGCTCACCAAAACTTCAAACAAAATGTGCATAATCTAATTTTCACTCAAACTATAACCCAGGCCAAAACATTCTGCTTACAAGAAAGTAATAAAACACCATCCACCCAACCCCAATGCTTACCCTCCCCAAAACAAGAACTCCATCTAAAATCCTAAGCACCCAACAAACTTGACAAAATTATTTCACAGCTTCAGAGATTGGGGACTGCCCCCTTTTCCTTCTTCTCATAACCTTCTTAGACTTCTTCACCGTTTTGTTAGGTCCAACTCCAAACAAACCCCCTTTCAAGTTTCAACCTTGCAAAGACTTTTGAAACCTGAATAGGACATTGATTTTTCAGACATATGAATCATCTTACAATGTTTGGAAACTTCTCCACGTCCAACATACTCTTAGCGCTTCCTTCTGAATCTCCTACCTCCTCAGAAGTCTGATTTATCACCTCCTCATCTCCCTCTTTATCAACGACTCCTCCAGCTTCAGAAGATTTCATCCTCTCTGAAAATCCTTCAAGCCCAAAGCAAAACCACCCTCTTATTTAATTTCTCTCTTTCCCTACTCTCTTCTTCCAGATCTCTAAAAGCCTTCTTTGCAAACTCTTCCCACCCCAGAAAAACAAACATGGAGTTTTACTCACCTCTACCTCTTTATTTACAACTATCTGAATGTCAATCTTGTTTTCCATTCGATGTGTTTCATCCAAACAAACCTCTTCCACTTGATCATCCTCCATTTCAGCCTTGTCCCCCACTTCTTCATCAACTTAAAGGGTTTAATTCCTTTTTATTTTTTTTGATAAATGAGTGCAATTTTATTTTTTTGAGAGAAAAGGATTTTTTTATCAGTAAAAGAGAAAAGAAAAAAATATTTCATTAAACAAACTTAAAAGATACAGCCTTGCCCAATGAGGCACTGGGCAAGACAAAAAATGAGTGCAATTTTATTAATCAAAGGAAGAGTGTACAGTCAGCCTAAGAGGAGGCACAAGGTGATACCTCCCCTTAGGAGATTAGTAGTTCTGTATTTTCTACGATTTTAAACTTTGGTTTCATCCCCTTTTTCCACTACTGACTACTCCATCTCTTCCAATCACCTCTTCATCCTCCCTTTGACCCTCCTTCCTACAATTGGCCCCTCTCCCACCACCATCCAAACTACGCAACCTCACAATTTCTTCAAGAGAAAACTCCAAGGCTTTCTCACCACTAATCTCCTCCTCTTTCCTCCCTCCTATTTCTTGCACCTCACCCTCAAAACCCCCAATGAGTCAATCTCAACCACTCCCTAAACAACATCCTCCACTCTACTATGCTCTCTAGACCCCTCCCTCACAAAGCTTCAATCTCACTTTTGAAGCCTTCAAGTCCATTAAACCACATTGAAGAACAAACCTCTTGACAATCATTGAAACTTCTAACCATCTGAGTACACTCATCTCAACAATGAACCACCTAGCCCACAAGCACCATCAATTGTGTGATCAACCCCTAACGTCTCCAGAGGAGGATCAATAAATCCAAGACCTTCTTTCACCCCCCCCCCCCAAGCCCTTCTTTCAACCCCACCCCCAACATTTCCAAAAACATGATTGACACTTCCAACTTCAACCAAACCTTCAAAAGGGAATGATTCCCTACCTTGACTATGAAATCAACAACCCCATCGACGCCTCCACCAAGTTCTTTTGTAAAACAAGTCACCAATCCCCAATCTATCACCAACATGGTGCCATGGGGGGACCCTTTTTTTAGGGACATCCCACCCATATTTCCTTCAATCATTGACTTTAGAGCTTTCCACCCCTCATACCTTGCAATCACCAACACCCATTCCTCCCACTTTGTTTTCTTCTCACCATCACTATATATCCCAGTGTGCATATTCTTCTACTTACCATATAGGAATTCAAATGATGCCTCTTCCTGAGCAACAATCGATTCCTCGACATCCCAAACCCCCACATCCTTGCAAGTGTTAACACATGACCTACGTTTTAAAGTATGGCCCAACCCACACGAGTTCAAATCAGCCCCCCACAACGTCCCACAGCACATCCCCACCGTGTATTGGGAACATCTCCCGGTGATGACATCACCACTTCTGATATATCATTGGGAGATGTTCCCAATACACAGCAGAGATGTGCTGTGAGACGTTGTGGGGGGCAGTCTTGTGGGGGCTGATTCAGTCTCAACCCACACACGACCACACCCCACACCATTAAAAAGTTGAGTCAAACTAATATTTTTAAACCCTCTAAGATATATATATATATATATAGTTATCTATTTGTAATGTATAATATATTTATAGTATTTATATATTTAATTATAATATATATATTGTAAATATAAAGAAACAAGAAACCAAAGAACCAAACCAATCAACCGGTTAACCAATTGGTTTCGGTTTGGTTTTGACTTTTAGTTTGTGGTTTTTCAAAAACTGGTGGTACTGGTTTGGTTTCAAAAAAATGGCCCACAATTTGGTAACCAAACTATGAGCAACCCTAACACACATCCCTCATTAAATTCATCTACCTCAAAACCCAACCTGAATTTTATACCTAAAATACCTTATCTTCAACCTCTCACTCTTGACCTTTCTATTTCTACCTCCTCTCCTCTCCAACCCTTAATCCTATCATCTCCAACTCTGAGATAATCAAACAAAGACATTGGATGGTCTAACCATCTTAACGGAATGGTGCCTTCAACAACAATTCTTAGATTGAACCATTCCCTCACAAAGAACAGTGCTAGAGAAGAAGGAACCAAATGGATTTCCTCTACTTCAACCCATATCCTCGCAGCAACCAGACTCTTCCACAAACAAGGATGTATCAGAAAAATCTGCAAAAAAGATAAAAAGGACCAGGCCTAAGGGGGTTTAGCCGTTTAGATTTCTTTTATTTTTCCCTTTCTTATTTCTCATGTTAACTGAGTCCGCTTTTGGTAGGATGGGTCATGAAAGATTACCATGACATGACATCAACTAAATCAATTATTGCAACTTCACATTCTGAGAAATCACAGCCTATGGTTTTTCAGAATAAATGACATAATATTCACTAAATGCATTCAAATAAATGTAAAATACCACGTCCCAAATGCCCAAGGCCGCATTAAAAATCTGAGCCAAACGTAATGGCTCAGAGTGGTAATTTTAGTAGGCATTTGCTAATTGCCAAATGATCATGCAGCAAGAGGAAAAACCGATGCAAATAGAAGTCCTTTGAGATAAAGGTAAAGAATGCAAAAATAGAATAGACAATCACTATGACTAGGCAAGAACATAAACCTGTCAACACGACGGTGCTCCAACTCCAAATCAATCTTCCGCCAATCTTTTCCCTTCTCTTCCAGTAAAACTTCTCGGGGCTTGGCATCTCCAAAAGGGTTTATCTTTGGTCGGGGTCTTGGCGCAGCTTCCAGCACCTGCGAGGCAGGGCTGTCAGGCCGACTCGAATGTGCACTTGAAGGCCTGCTAGAATGAGAGTCTGTCGACTGACTGGCCTTTCGGCTGTCGAGCTCTGTGTCCAACTTCCTCCAATCCATGCCTTTGTCAGCCAAAACTTCCTCTCTTGGACGTGCAGCACCAAATGGGCTAGGTCTAGTCGTTCTTGCAGGCTCATTGGCAGCTACCTCGCCCTTTGGCGGATCTAGAACAAGTCTGGGTCGCTCGCGATCCCCATCACGCGGTCCTCCCCTACTCCATCGATCAGATTCCGGAGCAGAATCCCTAAAACCTGAGCCAAAGGACGTGGATCTAGCAGGAAATGGTTTCTTCGCAGTTGTCCAGCTATCAGCTTCATCAGCCCTAGAACCACTTCCGGTACCAAGCGAACCATAACGATCGCGATCATGTCGTCCAGAATCCGCTGAAGCTAGGGAGAGGGGCTTCTTTGCCGTGGCCCAGTTATCGACCTCGTCGGCTCTAGAAGGCTGATCGAAATCAGGAGTCCTGTGAGGGGGAGCCCTCCGTTCGTCGTCAAAACCACCGTAAGATCTGCGGCCACCACCCCAAGAGCCCTCGGTGTCATCTCCTCTCTCCCGCATGCGTCCCGGAGGGGGCCCGTTACGGCCATAAGATCGAAATCCACCGCCAAGACGACCATATTCCATCTCCTCGGAGGACCTCTCCCTGGGACCAGTGGGCAAACGAAGCATCTCATCGGCGGTTAACCCCTTAGGCTCTAGAGAAGGGTCCCGGCGAGCAGCCCCACCGGGTCCGACATAAGTGCCCGTCGTAAATTCCGACAACGTCATCTTTTTCTTCCTGGGTTTGGCGGTGGCAGCCTCTTTAAGGCTGGGAAAATTCTGCGACTGGCCGGCAACGGCAAATTGAGGATTGGGGTCGGAAGCAGCGCGTTCGCGCTCTTCCGCTTCTGCGCGTTCAGCATCGGCGGCCCAAGCACCAAGTCCTCCCCACGGTTTCGACATCTTCTTCTGCGCTGGAGATCTGAAACTTGTGCCTAGCCTAACACACTCTTCTTCTAATGTAGTATCCTTAACAGCGAAGGCTCTCTTTCAAGGGAGCCGGAGCTCGCTAACATGCGCAAAAATGAGGGTTTGGAAAATTCGAATATCTCTATCTTTCATCTTAAAATCTTTATTTCGTGTGTGTGTGTGTGGTGTTGTCTATGCAATGAAAACGAAAAGAATTTTTTATAGAGAGATGTGGATAGTGGATAGAGATGTAGAGAGGGGTGGAGGCGTGGAGCATGGATGGGAGGAGAAGACGAGAGATACTTTTTCTAGTTTTCTTTCTTCCTCCAACTTTTTTTCTTTGTTTTTTTTTAATAATTAATTATAGTTATAAATAAAATAAAAATTATAACTGGTTTCTCAATTTTTTGGTTGTTTAAATTTTTTTTGTACGGTGCTGATGAATCGGTCTAGAGGTTGATTACCTGTCATCCAACGTATAAGTTCACGAGTTGGAATTTGGGAAGGAGGATCTCTGACTCAGATCTCTACTTGTGTCTGTGTGTAGCTGTAGCACTACACCAGACCAGAGACCAAAGAGTGGAGTAATTGTAACTTGTAAATCAGGAAAGCATTTTATTTTTTGCAAAACGGTAAGGTAGAGACAGTAGAAGAAGAGGGAATAGGACGGGACAGTATGGATGGAACGTACCAGCCACTCAGGATCAGGAGTCAGGTCAGCCCCCCAGGAGACGAGACCACATCCCCTCCCCACAACGTCGCCGTGTATTGGACACATCTTCCGATTATGGTATCAAAATCGATGATATGATCATCGGGAGATGCTCTCAATACACGGCGGGATATGCTGTGGGGCGGAGATGTGAACTCAGCTTGTGGTTCGGCGTCATGTCTCCAACTAACTGGCATTTTTGTTTGATTGGTTGTTTACTTGTTTTACTCATACACACACTGCTTCAACTTTGGGTTCATACAATTTATTTTTGTATAAATGGATCAGTGATAAATATCCCCTCAAAACTTTCACTTTGTCACAAAGAGTCTCATTCATTCAGTGTTTAATTTTTTTTTTAATTTCCAAATTATCCTTTCTTATTTATGATTTGATTAATTTTTTAAATATAACATTAAAGCCTTCTTGGTTGCTTTAATAGATTCTTACTTACATATTTCTGGTTGGATTTAATATCCAAATGAATCTTTTTAATGAATATAAATTTATGGTTTTTTATGGTTTCGTTTAAAAAAAATATTTTCTATGCCAATGGAATGATTCTTGTTATTCTAGATGGGTTCTTTTGGATAAAATTGAGGTATTTTTTGTCAATTAGGATTCAAGAGAAAAGGGCAAGAAAAAGGAAATAATGAAAGTTTAGGTGGGTATTCCGGTAATTTAATGCATTCCGTTATCATCTAACTTAGGCTATGTTTGGTTCTCTGGGCGTTTATTAAAAAAACATCACCACATCAGCACCACATATGCATTGCCATTTATTGCACATGAAGAAAAATGAAACAAGTGTTTGGTTTCACCATTTATCAAATAAATGGTAGAAAACTGAAACACTTTGATTTTTATGCATGGGGCATTTGGGAAAACATCAAATTCTTGTTTCCCCAACGCCCCAGTGTTTCTTGAATGCTGATGTGGCACACTTTAGTGGGTATTAATCTGAGATAGAGAGTAAAAAACATTTAAAGTGAAGTTCAACCAAACAACATAAAACATTAAATGTTTAAAGTGAAAATGTACAAATAAATGGCCTATCCATAAACTCCCACGGAATCAAACACATACTCAATGACCTGGTGGCATTTGTCGCAAAGTGAAAGTTCACGGGTGTCTTGTTGCAAATGAAGGTTTAGGTGGTATTTTGTCATTGACCCCATTGTCATTGTAATTTACCCTTTATTTTATATCAAAATCATTTTTATTTCATGTTCATACTATTTACTATCCAATTTTGTTTCTAGTTGAGTCCAATATAAATTCAATTGATAGGATTCCATTCCAATCTCAATATAATTAAGGGTCCAGTTGGTTTATAGTTGAATCAAAATCAAAATCCCTTGAAATTAGAGTTAGAGTGATCTATTCCTATAGTTTGTTTGGTTTAATAGGAATCGTAATCAGAATTAGAATAAGCTGAAATGGGATTTAATTCCCAAGAGAGGCTAGAGAGGGAGTGAATGTCAATGTAGCAGGAATGAAATGAGATCGATTTTGCATATGTTTGGCATCAATGCTGCAGATGCAGCATCGTTTCCTCATAAAATGGTGCTGCTGATGTGTGGTTGGAAGCACCGTTTTCTCAGAAAACTGTGCCTTTATTTTTGTATGGAATCGTTGCTGCCAAGTAGAACATTTCCTGGAGCAACAACAATTTTTCCTGTTTGGTACTATTGCTCCAATAGATGTTTTCAGCATTGGTACCCATTATCCAGTGCCACATCACTGCCATGTTGGCAGTAATGAGCTGCAGCTCTAAGAAACGCCAAAATTGGTGTTGCTCCAAGCCATGGCTTCCCGATTTCTGAGACATGGCTTAGAGCACCATTTTTTATGAAAAAATGGCTCCAAACAAATGCATGTTTCCTGGAGTACCGTTTTTTCCGATATAGCACCATTGCTCTTGGAAACGGCAACGATGCCAAACAGCCACTTTGACTCCACCCAATAAAACAATTAGAATTGGAATGAGCAATTTCAATTCCAAACCCCTATACACCCAACCAAACAGCCCCTAAACCAATTGATTGGATTCTATTTCCATCCATTTGTAACCAATAAAATGTGTGTATGTATGTATGTATACTTTTTTTTTTTTTCGAACAAGTTCGATTTGATCAAGCCTGAGTTTTGGATTGGTCCAAGCTCGAGTCAAGCACGTGCTAGTTGGGGCATCAATAACTATGAACCAAAAAAAGGTCTTATAAATATTGCATCCAAACTTAAGAAGAATGCGTTGTCTGTACGTGGAATATATAATAGACAATTGTGCTACATAATGAGCAGCACTACTCTAAAGGTTCAGTCCCCTGATAATGAGTAATTCTTGGGCTCTCAATGGTCTGAGTTACCTGTGGGAGGAGATGGTTCTTTGTTTTAACTTTTAACACGATGAGATTATCAATATGGATTGAGCAGCAGCAATCACCAATGATAGATTAAGATCAAATGCATGGTTCGGATTTGGTCCTTGTAAAATTATTATTAAAATCTGTTATAGTGGTGTATTAAATATTTCTATACTTATATCTTTTTATATTCTCATTAATGTATATTTGAAGGGACTGTAAACTGTAAAGACAGTTTTGTGAGGACCGAATTTAAATTTGTTCAAGACTAGTTTTTCTCGACACGGGTAGCAAGGCATGACCCGAACTAGAGTGAACAAATGGTTGAGTAATGAAAGGAACAAATGGTTCAAGTTTTCATCAGTTTCAATGCACAAACCACAAAACTCGTCAACTTAATTTGAAGGTATATTTTATTTGGCTAGAGATGCTTTTAGTGGAAGAATATGATGTAAACACCTTCAAATAAAGCTTTCTATTCCGAGATGAGGTAGCTGAGTAGCTCTTGAAATCTCCAAAACCTTTTCCAACGAACAGCCGGCAATGAAAGGTGACTATTAGACAATGTGGCTAGGGTGCTCATGGTTCGGTTAGGTCTATTTTTCAAAATGAATTGGGGTTATTGGTTTTTGGAAAATTGGTAACCGAAATTGAATCAAAGTCGATTAGTTAATTGGCTGATCGGTTTGATTCATCGATTTTTCAATTTTTTTTTTATATTTACAATTAATGCGGCACGATCCGGGCACTCCTAACTGGCTGCTGACTGGCTCCTTGCTAGCAACGGATGACATCTGAGAAGATGGAAAGAAGGATTCTCGGGGATTTACCTGGTGGGAATACTTTGAAGCTTAAGTCAGAACGTTGGGGAAGGAGAAAAAAGAGGGTGCAAAAGCTAAGAGTGTAGGTCGCGCTTTATCAATGTGCTCGAGAGATTAGCTCGCGAGCAAGTAAAGACTCAGGTTGAGGGTATGAGTGCGGAAGTATTCAAAAGTATGTGAGAGAGCTTCTCTTTTGCCTCAAGGGCTTTTATAGGGGAGTTACTGTCAAATCGAGTGTAACTGCCATTGGGCCCTTGCCGCAGCCGTTACCTGCCAGGGTTGCGCAGGTGATCGTTGCAATGTACCTCTTGCTCAGATGAATGACACGTCTAAAAGGGGCAGGCACGCTTCCGCCTGCTGGGAGACATGGGTGCAAACTGTCGAAAGGATAGGGACTGTGCCATCAGTTAAGAGACGTGGCGTAGACTGATCAGTACGGTTTGTCAGGTATAAGCTTCCTGAGAAACGTCCCCACTGCTCACTCGCGAACTACTTTGTAGCGAGCTAGGGAATACTTCGGAGTTACCCTTACTAAGGTTGTTCTCTGGGGTGACTTATCCGCTCGGGGGCTAGAGCGAGCTGGTTTCCCTAGTATGCGAGCTAAAGCAGTCTTGGAGTATCCCCTTCTGGGTAGCTCGGGGAACCCGGAGCTCGTGTTATAGCGAACTCCTCCTACAGTGAACTATGATATGGCGAACTGCTTTATGGGCTCATTGCTTAGCCGTGGTCAGGCTATGATGTTGAGCTGTTGCCCATGCTGAGTCAGGTCCACGTGTCATCACTTCATAGGTCGGGTCAAATCATCCTCCATCAACAATGTATTATAAAAATCTATAAATATATATAAAATATTATATTTTAAATAATAAATAATATATTATGTATTATAAATATATATTTATTAATTTATAATATATATATATATAAACATTAATATACATAAAATATATAAATATATATATATATACCAATTGGTTTGGTTAATCGTCGATTTTCTATTTTGGTTAACAAAAACTTAATCGGTTCCTTCAATTTTTTAAAAATACCGAACCAACCGATTTAGTTAATCAATTTTTTTATTTGATTTTTCGATATTTCTGACTCACCCCTAAATGTGGCTTGTTGACTTGAATCTATTTATATGCTGGAGCACATGTGTGACTTTAATTTGACTTTAATGAACTTAAAGAGAGTTTTCTATTTTTATTGTATTTTTTATAGCTTTAACATTTTAATTTAGAAATAAATAACCGAGAAATGAGAAGAGAAAGAGGTAGCTACGAGCATGTGGTGAGAGGACTATTTAGCCTATCTCTTCTCTTTCTCTCTATCTAGAATTAATTTTATTTTTAGTTTTTATTTAATTCAGTTTTGTTGCTTATTGATTAAGCATTCATCGTGGTTCACCCGAAAAGAAAAGGCATAGAAAGG